GGAGGTAGATGGGAAGGAGATGGGAGGTAGATGGGAGGTAAATGGGAGGTAGATGGAAGGTAGATGGGAGGTAGATGGGAAGGAGATGGGAGGTGAATGGAAGGATATAAATGGAATAACGTCTACAGTCCATTTCCCTTTAAAGCAATAAGCAGCAAACAATTAAACCTAACAACGTATCTTCTGATATAATAGTCTTTGATGTAAAATTTATAAATCTAAAACTGCAACTGTTGTAATTACGAAGTGTCTAAAACTAGTTTTAATATATATATTATTATTAACTGAATCAGGCATGCAGATTCCAGATAAATACTAAACACTTATATTCTTATCTATTCATTGTGTAAACAGTAAGCATGGAATTGGAATGTCCCAAAAATGTGAATTTCTCAAAAATATATCTTTAATCTTCAAAACATTTATATGCGTGAAGTGATGGGAAGAAAAATTGTCACGTGATACAGATGGAAATTACGTAACCAGTATACTGGAAGCTGCCATTGGTTGAATTTTTATTGACGTAATACGGACTATATGTAATAATATTATCAATAATATCTATTTTATTGCAAAATAAAAATATAAAAAATTATAATTGGAGAAAACTAGAGATTTTCAGGCTCCTGTGGGATATCGTCGTTTTCAGATTGGGTTGCGTATTTGTTGAAAATGATCTGTTTAATACTATAACTTTTAAACAAAATTGCATATACATGAATTTTCGTATAAATTTGACACAGTTTTATATCAATTTCTCAAGACAAGATCATCAGATGGAAGTCTTATAGGTATCGTTCAACGCCTGAGATTCTCAGGTTTCATTTCATACCACCTTTCATTTTTCTTTGACAGTCCCTTTAAGCTGGGTTTCCTCCGCTGTTAATTTCCAAAAGTTTTTAATGGTTTATAATTATTTACAGCTTCAGGAAAGGTTCCGAAAGTCCTTTATGGATCCAAATTTTTCCGGAAAAGATTGGAAACCCTAATTTTAGATAAAGTCTTTTATATATTCACTACAAGCTTAAAGGCAAGCGTGCTCCACTTCCATTGTAAAAATTTCAGCCAGGCAAGCAAAAAATATATTTAGATTTATTAATATCAAATTTTTTCACTGATGAAAATCTTCTGTGTATTTTTTATGTATTAAAATATTTTCTTTTTTGAACTTTTAAAAATTTGATAAAAAGTCATAGTAGCAAAACAATTTACATTCTTTTATATTTATCTATAATCCGCGTATTAAAAATATGTGTTGGAAAAATTTTAACATTATATTGTTATCTATTTTTTGAATATGTACTCTTTAATACACTTGCTCAAGGACAATTTTTCTGTCAGGGACATAGAGAATAGAAAATATATTAGAGAGGAATTTAAAGAATCTCTCGGTATGAATTTTTTCAGTCCCTTTCAGCCTGAAAGGGAGTTCAAAGTGTAGGGGTATAGTCACTGAATAAGTAAAATGAGTCTGTTTAAAATATCTTGAAGTAATGTTTTGATAATTTAGATTTTATGGTTTAGGTTGATGGCGTTGATATCTTTATTACGTTAAAAATCAAATAAAAGGGACTAGAAGTTGGCCCCTTTTTATAGTTGGCCTCTAAAAGGGGGGCGTCTTTACTCCGTCCCCCTCTTCTCCTTAAGCTGCCTCTGAATTCATACATACAGGGTTACCTACAAAAGATGAGACTAGGTAAAGACGACCAATAACCGTAAAAATAGGATTTGAAGCTTGATTTTTGGTTTCTGCATTCAATTATGTACATGCATGGGTGTCCCACGAAACATGACAGTTGGTGAATAGTTCAAAATGTCTTCTTCCATAATTAGTTAAGTTGTTTGATATTAAAGAGATTTGATGAAAAATATTGTATGCCAATTATACAGGGTGTCCCAATAAGCATGGGAATTCAGTGACGAATTCGATATCGTCTTTTTAAATAATTCTTTGTTTTAGTATAGTGATACCTAATGGGAAAGCTGTAATATGTAAGAGTTTCGTCTGCTATGTTCACATTTTGTTTGTGTATGTTTACGGTTGTACTTAGTAAAACAAAAAATAACAGTATTCAAACAGTGTAAACTTATCCGTCCGTAGACATAATAATATTATGGCCTTTGAAATTAGGTATTACAATGCTAATTCATAACAAAGACGATATCTAATTCGTCACTGAATTCCCATGTTTTTGGGACACCCTGTATTATTGTAAAATTGATTTCAAAGTAAAATATATTTGAGAAAAAGACAAATAACGAAATTACATGCAAAACGTCTTTAATATCCAATATAATATATGGAAGAAGACATTCAAAACTATAATCAATCAATCAATAAACATGGTCAACCACAAAAATATGCCAGTTTTGATCTACAAGGAACAATGAATGCAAGAAAACGGACTAAACAAACTTCATACAATCGTCTCTGAAGTCTCATCCCTTGTGAGTAACCCTTATGTATAATATGCATGCAATATACAGAGCGTCCCATATCATATTAGATTATCTCCAATCTTTAACACCAAAATAAACCCTTAATACTCGAAAAACTTATACTTTTCCGCAAGAAAATTCTTATATAAGCCTTATGTTATTTTTCAAAACGATTCATTTTAATGAAATTTTCTAATTAGTCCCGAAAATCGTAATTTAGACCCGTTCTCGGTCTAATATGATGCGGGACACCCTGTATAATACAGGGTGTCCCACATCATATTCGATCGTCAATTGGTTTATAGATTTGAGAGACTAATCAGAAAATTTAAGAAGAATTAATAATTTTGAAAAATTAAATAAGGCTAAAATAAGAATTTTCTTGTTGAAAATACAAGTTTTTCCTAGTATTATTGTTTTATTTTGGTGTTAAAACTCGGATATGATATGGGACGCTCTACATAATGAAAATTTTAAATGGAAGTGTTTCTGAATGTCGTCTTAGTAGTAAGATATTAAAAACAAACCAAAGCCTGAACTCTGACGCGGCATTGTGTGGTATATTGCGCATTGCTTCAAATTCATCAAACGATTTGTTAAACGAATATTTTCTGTTTTAATGTTGAAAAGGGACTAATGGCCAATTTCTTATTCATTTAACCATAGGTACAACTATAGGTCGTATCTATCTATCTACACTGCTCTGGTAAAGCGTAACCATAGTGTGACTATGGTTCTACCTATGGTAGAGCGTCTAAGAAATTGGCCATATGAACTCTCGATACCAAAGCTTGGGGAAGGAATTATTAAGAGGATGTTAACTAAGGTTGATTTTGTATTCTGTCCACTTAAGTTAAACGAGTTGCTTTGTTGAATGGCATTCAATTAAGATGCTCGCCTTTGGATGCAAATAGAAATAAACGTTAATTAATCAATCAATGAAACCGAAAGAAATGTATTATTGGCAAATTATTTCTTTATTTTAAATCAAGGTACGCACCTTTCAATGTACGTTCTTTTGTAAATACCGAATTATTTGTCGATTAGTTAACATTTAAAGTATTTTCAGGAGATTATTATGATAAATTAGTTAAACAGCTGAACTAGTTTAAAACTGAAATAAAATGGCTGCCGGCCCTATATCTGAGAGGAATCAGGATGCAACGATTTATGTCGGCGGACTGGACGAAAAAGTTAACGAGGCCATGCTCTGGGAACTCTTTGTTCAGGTAAAACAGTTTGTTTAGGTCATTAGTTGGACTAACTATAAGGAAGTTATCTGTAATTTTCTAGAGAACGTTTTTTGGACCCCACCCCTCCTTTCAATTTCGAACATTTATCTCATATACAATACATGGATGTAATTGGTCATGTGGTCGCAGCGCCCGGCCCCCTAGCCTATCCTAGCCGCGGCGCTTGTTTCCTTGGCCTGACCTATCCTTCTTTGCTCGGCCTCTAGCCCAGAAATTGTCTTAATCTGGCCTAACCCTAAATGAACACAACATAAACAATAATAATTTTTCTGAATATCAAATGGTCATGTAAAAAATTGATAAGAGGGGGGGGGGGGGCCCAAAAATCGTATGCTAGGACTGACCCGGAGTTATCGTCGTTTTTCGATTCGTAAACTGACCCTCCACTCATAATAGGCAAACTTGTAAATATTTAAACCGACTATATGTGCCTACCGGTGAAGATGTTGGGTAAATAATACTCGTCACGAGCATGTCGGAGACTATATGGCTGCTGGGAATGCTTGATTCACAACGATACCCTTATAACATGCATCTAGTAAACAATATTAACGGTTTTCTAGGATTAATAGTGTTCCAATAATTTTTTATTTTTACTGAAAGAAAATGAGTTCAGTCCCATTTCAAGAATTCTGTACACGACGCAATTTTATCGATTATTAAGAAGCATGTACAAAAATGAAATGGAGGGTGGGATCTCCTTTAATTGCGCATGTCACTTCTGTGAAGAAACCACTTTTGAAAATTATCTGTTTTCATCCATATTTCGTATTTTTATTCGAGTTTGAGATAATACAAATAAAAATCACAATTTAATTTGTAGTTTGAACTTCCTTACCAGAGTAGCTAGGTTGTTTTAATTGGTTGGCCCAATAGAAGCGAATGAGATTTGTAAATAAATGGGTGTACACTGTACAGTGTACGCTGTACAATGTCCACTGTACATTTAAAACAAAAATGCTAATAAATCAGGAAAAGGGTAAGGAGGTAGTAAGGAATTATAGGGAAAGGGATGGTACTCAGCGGAAGGGTTGGAACAAAGGGTAACATATGTTTTTAAAATCATGTTAATGAACTACAGAGTACTAAAGGGTGAAGAAGATAGTAAAGATTTAGTTTATCTACGTAATAAACAGTTAGTTTTTTACAGATATAACTTGCGTTTTAACTTTCTAAATAGATCTTGGCGACTTTTGCGATTTTGCAGGATATAATTGTAAATCGGAAATTGCCATCTTTCCATGGAGAGCCACATTAAAAGTTTAAAAGTCATTTTAAAGTGTTTTGACAATGTTCTAGATAACTAACAATATAAAATAATGAATTTTAAGCTAGAAAACTAAGGATATTTCATTTATCCTTGACCAGAAAAGTATGTAAATGGTACCGTCATGCATGCATTTGACATTTCATTGTACAAATAAGTCTTAACATGAAATTATATCTACAGTCCGATCTCGTTCAAAAGGTTAAAATACTATCTTTGCGATTAAAATTAAAATAGATCATAATTACATTTCATCATTTTAAGATAAAATTAATAAAATTATAAATTTTTCTAATTTTCTAAGGCTGGTCCTGTCATGAATGTTCATATGCCAAAGGATCGAGTGACAACACAGCATCAGGTGCGGTATATCTGTACAATGTACTCCACCGTATAGTATTCATTGTAAAGCTTACACATTCTTACATAATTCAAGAATATATAATTTTAACATTTACATCCCGTGAGGGGGGTTAGAATTAGGCATCTAAAGGTCAGTTATTTATGGATTCTTTTTACCCAAACTATATTTATTTTTTTATTCTTTTATTCTCCACAATTTGACGAATAAACCTTAAAAAACATGTGTAACTCTGGGGGAAAAAAATATATTTTGAGGGGAAGGGAAATATTATACATCCCTCCATAATGGTATGAAAATCATCTAATCCTCCCTCCATTAAATCTGAATGATTTTTTTCCAACAATTATCCAAGATTAGGGAAAAACTTCACAATTGATGTTTCTTTTTCCATTTCCTCCCAGATGGAGGGGGGGGGGGGGATTAACTCGTCAAAATTTAAACCCCTGCCCTAGCTAAATACTGTTTCTGTGTCAGGGATACGGGTTTGTAGAGTTCTTAGGAGAGGATGATGCTGATTACTCGATCAAGATCATGAATATGATAAAACTATACGGGAAACCAATTAGGTGATAACATATTTTCGATCTTTAATTCTATTTTTTATATTGTATTTTGTCTCTTTTTCTCCCTGTAAAAGCAAATTATAACAATTATACATGAAAATTACAGGTAAAGAGTGGAGTAAAAATTATATCAAAACTTATATTTCCACCACACTTCATTGGTTATGTTTAGAAATCAGTATTCAATTCGTTTTACCAAATCGCCTGGGAGAAATTTAGAAATGCATATTTGGGTTTATCACTTTTTGGTTGTAGTTTTTTGATAATTCGATATTTTGAATTTTTGACCCTCCTCCCCCCCCCCCCCCATCACATTATCCAGTACCTGTAATTTGATTGATAATAAATGCTTTGATCTTATAACAAAAAATAATGATTCGCCTTAAATAATTGTTAAAGATAATTGATTAAAAACTCTATTGTCTCTCCCTTTCTCCATGATTAAACTAAAAAATAATTAGGGAATAATTTATTCTTTTATGGCAACATCGGAAAAAAAGTTGTGAAACCGAAGGGATGAAGCGGTATATATTTTGACCCCCCCCCCCCCCACTGGTGAACCTAGTTTTGTGTGTAAAGAAAACAGTACAACTATGTAAAACCTTTAATTTTACCCCGCCAAATTCAGGTTACCTTTTAAATAAACATTTTACCCATATTATAAATATCCAACGATTTTAGGGTGAACAAGGCGTCTGCTCATCAGAAAAATCTTGACGTTGGAGCAAATATTTTCATCGGAAACCTTGATCCTGAAGTTGATGAGAAACTGTTGTACGATACGTTCTCTGCATTCGGTGTTATCCTGACTACACCAAAGATACAGCGTGATCCGGATACAGGAAACTCTAAGGGATTCGCGTTTATCAACTACGCCAGCTTTGAAGCATCCGACGCCGCCATCGAAGCAATGAATGGTCAGTATCTCTGCAATCGCGCCATCACAATCTCTTACGCATTTAAGAAGGATGCTAAGGGTGAGCGCCACGGTTCTGCTGCTGAAAGATTGTTGGCGGCACAAAATCCTCTTTCTCAGGCCGACCGCCCGCATCAACTGTTCGCGGACGCACCTCCAATTCCTTCAATGGGAAACCCTGCTATTCCCCCTCCTCCTATCCCCCCTCCTCCTCCCCCGGGGGCAGGGCCAGGAAGACCTCCTCAGATGCCGCATGGATTTGGACCACCGCCTGGAGGTATGCGAATGAACCACGGTCCCCCGGGATGGATGCCTCCTCCACCTGGAATGGGAGGCCCTATGGGAGGACCGATGGGAGGACCAATGGGCGGAGGAATGGGAGGGCCAATGGGAGGAGGAATGGGTCAAGGATGGCGTGGCCCCCCACCTCCAGGTTGGGGACCTCCCCCTCCTCCCCGCCCACCTATGGGCAATGCTCCTCCGATGCCCCCCGGTCCACCACCTCGACGCTACTAATATTTCATGTTTTTGTTTTACAGTGCATTATCTGTTAACACCATTTTTTCTTTAAAATAAGTTTTGTAATTTCAGAAAAATGCGTATACTATATTGTGTCATATCAAGGCAGAACACTGTTCTTGCAAAGTACGCGTCATGTGTTGGGAACTTTAGTGAAATCAGGTGAGCCCCTGCCCCCAGGTGCCCCTAAAGAAATCCCAGACATGAGACAACTTATTCAGCCGAAGTTCTAAATTTTTAAGTTATGAAGTTATTTTCTAAAATGGCTTAGCCGTAGCGATTTTTCATATTTGAAATCGTTCATATGGTCTAATTAGACACGATTTTTTTTCTTTTGTGTTTTGTTAATCAAATATTGAAAAAAGGTTCAAAATAACGCGGTTTTTTACACCCTTTTTTCCTCCGTGGGTGAAATTTTTATCTCTTTGTTCTAGCTTGCTAATTTTCATCAAAAGATGCCCAATTCCAACATTGATTTATTGAGAAAATTTCAATTGAGAAATATTTTCCTGAACATCTAATTAGTTAACTTTCGATTTTTTTAAATATTTTTTTTGTCGTCGTTGTTTAATAATAAAAAAAATCGATTCTTAAAACGTACCCACGTTAGTGGGTGAATTTAAACGTCGATTCTGCGCTCAAACTCAGTAATTACACATCGTTAAAACGTTTTTTTATGTCTCAAATGAATCCTAAAAATTTTTTCCACAAAACTTCAGTTCAACCACCATACATCGCCAGTCACTCCCTTTAAGTTAAGCTGTTTGACATCTCCTTAGACGGTTAAGCTATGGTGGTTTTTATTATTTAATTAAAGCTGAAACCCCTTTGTTTTGAGTAATATTGTTTTAATATTGTTTTAAATTCATCCAGATGGGAATAATTCACTGAAACGCTTCTGTGGTCTGAAACAACTTTCGATGCGTACTGCAGTAATCTGCAGTACATGCGTACTGCAGTAATCTGCAGTACATTGACATAGTTCGGTCGAGAGTTAAGAATTTACATCTTTTTAAAATATTCATATTCCAACCAAGCAAAATAGTGAAATATTTACCCTTCTTTAAATTTTAATTATACATATGATAATAAGTACAATAAGTATGAATTTATACAAATTTACTTTTTCCTACTTTTAGTTTAATTTGAAGGGGGATTCACATCTAAATAAAAATAACCACGCACTGTTAAATTTGATTAAAATATGAATCTAAATTCTGCCCTACACATATATATATAATATTTTCCATCTTTTTATTCGATCTGAAGTGAGATTCAGATGGATTCACTCAAACAATAGTGAAATATTTGACCTTCTCTTAATGTTAATGAAATATGAATTCCTACATAAGTAATATAATTGATCTGAAAAAAATAATGACCACCCAATGTTTGAATTTGATTAACATATGAATCTAAATTCTGCCCCACACACAAGAGTAAAAATATTCTTCCTTCTTTTTAACTTGATCTGAAGAGAGCTGATACAACATCTTGTAGAAAAGGGTCTACATAATCTTATTATTTGTTATATATTGGCTGCATGTTGATGCTCTGCACCCAGAGGGCGGTCTGGGGGTTCCATGTCGGGTTCCTTTTCAGATCTTTTAATTATTACTATTATTATTGGCTCGCAAAGTGTTTAATTCTGAAAATCAACTTAATTATTTCTGCAGCAATCACAGTTGAAAATAATCATATTTTAAAAGAAGAAACATTCTTGATCAGGCAATGCCTCTTTAGGTACCATTGTGAATCGGACATGCCACTGTAGGAACACTTCAAATAACGTTAACAGTCCCTTTAAATTTGATTTTTTTTTCAGCGACCTTGTCATCTCTAAGATTCCTACTGGGGACGGGAAAATGACCTACAGGTAATTATTTAATATGTTTTAAAAATGTTACCTGGACCAAATAAATTGAACAGCGAGGCACAGTAAATTGTATTTTTATTTACGCGGTTCAACCTGTACTGCGCGGTTCAACCCTCTCTTCGCGGTTTAACTACTTCTCGGTGTTCATTAAATCTGGAATCATTGTTAATCCTAATGCCATTGATTTTAAAAATGTAAAATGGCTTTGAATTGAGTTGACGCCAAAAGATGTCACCGAAATGCATGTGTGGCTTTTCCTGCTAATTTAAATGCCTGGATGTGAATCACATAAAAATGTCATGCCGTGAAGGATCTAAAATAATATTCATGAAGTACGTTGTGGGTACCGTGTACTTTTAATGTCAGATATAAATTTATTTAGGGCTTGTTTTAAAAATGAAAAAACTTAAACGCTAAAAATGTTAAATTCAATTTTAAATTTTAAAATTGTCATTGTACTTTATCATTTATTTAATATTACTACATACTTTTAAAACCATGATTGGCTTTTAACGTTCATTTATTTTTTTCACTTTTTTCAAGAGAATGTATTTTCTTTAAAAAAAGCATTTTCCCTACCCCTTTTTAAAAACCTTTTTTTCCCCTAATGTTTGGTATCTTTTTAGGGTTTGTTATATTGCATGGGGAAATAAATGATTTTTAAAAGTTTGGGTAAAGAGGGTGAACATAAAATTTAAAAAAAAAAAATTTAAATTTTTCATATCATATTTCCCGAAATGTAAACCTGTATTTTTTTCAGTCATGGAAGTTTTCTATATCACTATATATCAGAGAATAACATCATCTATCTCTGTATTACAGGTTGGTTCATTTATATTACTCATGGGTTTGTGTGTAGAGGGGGGGGGGTGAGTTTTAAAATCGAATTCTTAAACAAAATATTTCTACATATTTTAATAATTCAATGTATGAAAATATATACGTGGGTTTTTAATCGTTGAATTGAGAGGGAAATGATATTAAGGAGTAAAAAAAGATATTGGTCAGAAAGTATCAAAAAAAGGTGAAATCTTCAAAATTCAGAGCCCTCTCCCGTGGAGTTGAAACATTTGTTTATATTTCGGGTAACTTACCTTAACTATTTATTTTTCCAGAGAACGGGTTTACGCAGGGCAACGCCTTTCAGTTCCTTAACATCATCATGAGCAAATTCAACAAGAAGTTTGCGACAAGGGATAAAATATATTTTCAGTTTCATAATTTCTAGATTGTTGTTCTATTCTATTTTAACAGGGGTCTTATGCAAGTTTTGGAAATTGTTTTATCCCCCTCTGGCTTTAAATGCCCTCCCCCCCCCTTATTATTATTATTATTTAAATTTTTTCTGGTAATTTTAAT